GCCGCAGCCACCCCCCCCGCCGTGGGGTCCTAGACCCGTTTCTATGGCCACATCCACCGCGTTCCTGCACAAATCTAATGAGAAACCCTGGGGGTTTTAGCCCGTAAAACAGGCAAACGGCTCTGCCCGGCATCCCTCTGTCCGTCACACGCTCTCTGCCCTGCTCCAGAGAGCGCCAAGGGACACGTTGGCAGCAGCAGGAGTGACCGTCACTCCTCCGGCCACCTCACGGAGAGGGGCCAGCGTTGTAACCCTTTCCACGAGAACAGCGGCACGGATACATTCAGGCAAACAAATAGATTGGAAAATAACTTATTGTTCAAAAAAAAAAAAAAAAAAAGAAAAAAAGAAAGAATAAATAAATACTGGTAACGGTGACCACCTGCATCCATTCCGACACACAAAACCAGAATAATAACAACAATAGCAATAACAATAAATAAATAAATAAATAAATTAAGAGGTTCACTCCAACACAAGTCTGCTTGGGAAACCCCAGAGCGTTCAGCTGCCACGGACGGTGCAAGCGGAGGCAGTCCTTGAAGCATGGACCAGCCGGGCGGGTACGAGACCTGCCGTCAGCCCCGCGCAGCCCTCGGAGCCATCTCCATCCCGTGGTCGGTGGGTGCTTCGATCATCCATCCCCAGCCACGAGGAGCTCAAGTCAGTGTCGTGTTTGGCATTTGCACCAGTTGCACAAAGCTCCTCTTCTTTTCTTTCCTGGTTTTTGCCCTCCCGGCTCGCTGCTTCCTTGCTACAGATGCACGTGTGCGTTAGGGGGTGTTAAGGGGGGTGAGGCTGCTCTTGAAACGCTGGTGGATTTGGGGTTTGGGCTCCCACCACTGCCTTTGGGTCTTCCCGGGGAGCAGAAGGATGGGATGTTTCCGTGTCAAACTGGGAGAGACTCTTTGGGGAAGAAGCATGAGGTTTTCAGCCCTTTACGGGAAGGGAGTTCACTGCAGAAGACGGCCACGGGGCCGCCGTCAGGGCCAGCCCAGGAGGGCAGGCAGTGGCACCCCACTGCAAGAACACCCCATCTTTGATCTCTCAGCCACAGCCCTACCAGGAATGCTTTTCGCTGTGTCCTAGAAAGTGGCCTCCTGGGAGATGGAGACACACATCCCCACCAAGCCACTGACCGTACCGGTGCCCAGCTTTCTGCCTCGGCCACCCTCATCCTCAAATTACCTGCAGAGAGCAAGGCGGGGGATGAGGGACTGGGAAAAGGAGGGGCTTTGGGGGTTGAAGGCACAGGACAAGGGCGACCAGCAGTAGGAAGGATACTGGGAAAAAGTGACCCCGGCATAAAACATGCCCTTGTACCACCCAGGTGGAAACACACCCCACGCTGCTGTACCTTCCAACAAATAACAGGTTTGTGTGCTTGCTAAGGCCATCATCCAGCTCCACCAGAACACCGCATGGCTTGGCCTTCCTCCGCTTGTAGCTTTGCCCCTTTACCTGCTGCCAGGTAACCCCTGGGAGGGGGGGGGGAGGTAATTTCTTTCTACCCCCTCTCCTCCTCCATCACATGCTGGTTCCACTTAGCCCTTTTCTGTGACACACCTCCTTGACTCATGAAGCCCAAACTCGTTAATAATCATGCAGGATGGAAGGGGAGGGGATGGAAAAAAGGGAGGGAAGGAAGTCTGAAGCCCAAATTAGCGTCTCTAAGCACCCAGGTGTTGTAAGAGAAAGAAACTCCTCAGCACCAGCTCAGCCTGTGCTGGGAGAAGCCTTTGTTACCCTGCAAAACACAGTAATTGCGCAGGCAGCTGGGCTGGCAGGGAGACAAAACCCCAGGGCCCAGGGCCGCCCAGGCGGGCAGGGCCCTCCT